CCAGGTGCGAAATCCAAATCGTAGAAGTTGTACTTTTTTGATAAAGGTAAAATGTGTCACCAAACAGCATTATAATGAAGTACTGCAGCGCTGTAGACGTACTCTGGCCTACAAATCCTAACCCTAAACAAAAAAAAAACAAAACATGTTTGTTAAAGACAGACAAAAATATGTGAAAATGAAAATTGTGATGCAAAAATTATCATCGGGAATCATATCGCAATCGTAATATACGTCACAATAATAGCAGTTTACGGTATCGTGCAGCCCTACTCTACACTTTTCTAGAACTAACCACCGTGAGGACAAATTCAAGTCTCATTAAATCATGTCTCATTAAACTTATAAATGACATCCCCAGTGGAACAATCACCACAGATAACGAAGGCCCTACTCCCAGGGGAGTGAACGGCATTATTTGCATCTCTACCCACTCTTCCTATAACTGGTTGGTTAAATCAGATGGAGACCACACATGATACAGCTAATCATACGTGGTGGAAACATCCAGGTGTTGTGGGTATGCAGGGGTCTGGACAGACTGAACTGAGTGGTGGTCTTACTTACTTACTTACCTCTGGTGAAGATTGTGATGCTGGATGTACTCTGGTTTCTTTGATATTGAGCTGACTCAAATGTGATGCAGACTGACTCAGCTACAGTTTCAACATGACATGACTATCAAAACAACAAGCCTGTGTGTGTGTCCCCAAAAACGAGCTCAAGTGTGTGAGTGTGTGTGTGTGGATGTTTTTCTCAGAGATGAGGATGTGGTGTGTGTGTGTGTGTGTGTGATCTGTGCCACCATGTTAGAGACATCACCTACACTAAGTTAATGTTGGTGAACATCGTGTTGTTTTACACGTTTGTAGATGATTTACTTTTACTTATAAAAATGTACACACACACACTTCAGGGGAGAAAGAAGAAAAAAGGCCCATCTGACGTTATCTAGGTTGAATACATGTATACACAGCTAAGCTCACATTATTAGTTGGTTGAAAACCCCAAGTAGACATTATATAGCTGTTCTACATATTTTAGTGTCCTGATAAAAGGAGCATTAACGATGTCTTTAATATCTGTTCGTCCGAGGGATCTGTCTATTTACTGAAAAAGACAGAAAACACAATGTAACAACATCCCATTAAACCGCCTGTATGTTAACGATAAAGATGATTAAGGCACATTTAGCGGTGTTACGTCTCTTCACACAAACGTGTGCTTTAGTAAATTATACTTTAAAAAAAACAAAAAAAAAAAACAGATGTGATGTTACAAAAAAAAAAAAAGAAACCCCCGCCACCTTATTCCTAAAGCTAAATATCGTTAAGATGAAACTAGATACGTCGGTGGAGTAGTTACAAAGTTAGTAGTCGTAGTGCCGCAAAACAGTAACGCAGTTATTTCTGCTAACAAGAAAAGCTAGCGTTACTTTCAGTTCCCAGCTAGCTGAAGCTACCGCAGCGTACTTACTAACCCGATGTTTTCTCCTCTACTTATTTTACCTCAAAGTGAATTTAATACTGGAGAAGGGGGGGCGGTGTTGTTTCCTTTAATCAACAGTGTTGCTTCGGTCTCGGTGGCTGAACGCGTAATGGAAATAAAAGACTTTTATTCGTGTATAATTTGTAAACACGGAACCCCTCCGCGGAATGATTTGGTTTCAGTTGATAGTCAGTGGCTGCGTTAGCTTGTGCGCAGGGCTGGCCTGGACTCACCGTGATGTTGCAGTGAATGATCAGCAGCTTCTCTCCTGTTACGTTGAATTGGCAACTGAGTTCGTCGGGTTTCCAGTCTATTATTCTGAATCGTTCGTGGTTTTGGTCAAAGATTGACTCCAAAAACTTCAATTCGGCCTTCAGCCCCGAAACCGACATCTTCTACTCATCTCATACCACCAGGCCGCTGGCAGAGGGGAAGTCGGGGCGGGATGTGACCGCGCAGTTGAGTCGGGTCTACGGATCTCGCATGTTAGCGTGAGAACAACAACAAAGGGCTGGAGGGTGAGGTTCATGATGTACACCATCAGGAGTATGTGACACTTACTCAACTTTTATTTGATTTGAGTGTACTTTTATTTATCATGTTTATTATGTTATATATTTTATTTAAAAAAAAAGAAAAAAAAAAAGAATTGTTGTTGTGTTTTTATTAATATGATTTTATTTGGCACTCGTTTCATGTTCACATTATACAGGAAGATGAAAACATTCTTGACAACGTATAAAATAAAAGTATATAATATACAAGCAAAGACCTTATGGAAGTTTATTAAAAACCAAGGCTGGATTACCAACTGGGCAAATAGGCAGCTGCTCTGGGGCCTCTGGGTCTTCTGGGGCCCTTATAAGCCCCACTTGACACTTTTGGTTTTTGGTATTTTTATTATTTTGCAAAGTTATTTAGGAATTTCCACCACAACATTACAATATCAACCTATATACCCTTGTGGCCCTGTCTCTCAGTCCAGTATTAGTATTAGTATTTGTAGAGTGGTTCTGGTTTTGGTCTGGTTGGTCTCTGTGTAAAATAAACGGATGCAGCCATAATGTTACGCAGCCCCATACACAACAAACTGTGATGCACTGTGTGTTCTGATGCCTTTCTATCAGAACCAGCATTAATTTTTTAAGCAGTTTGAGCTACAGTAGCTCGTCGTTTGGATCGGACCACACAGGCCAATCTTCGCTCCCCACGTACATGAATGAGCCTTGGACCCTGTCTCCGGTTCACCACTTTTCCTTCGTTGGACCACTTTTTGATAGGTACTGACCACTGCAGACCAGGAACACCCACAAGAGCTGCAGTTTTGGGATAGCCTTGACGCTCAGCGTCTAACCAAAGTTGCTCAAATCCTAAGGCTGCCCATTTTGCCTGCTTCTAACACATCAACTCTGAGGACAAAATGTTTACTTGCTGCCTAATATATCCCTCCCACTGACAGGTGCCATGATAACCAAATAATCAGTGTTATTCAATTCACTTGTCAGTGGTCAGGTCGGTGGTGTGTGATAAAACTACTATCTATAGTGTATAGTGTGCTTTGTAGTTGATGGGAACAGGGGCCCAAGTAAAGATTTGCTCTGGGGCCCCCAAAACATGTTACTCCATCCATGAAAAAAGAAAAAAATCAATCAAAAGCATTACTGTCTCCCTATCCTATGTGGAGTATTATCAATAAGCCCAATTTACTTTTACATATATTTATTTATTTTTAATGCAGAAGGTTTTTATGAACACAATAATCCTAACATTAGCAGACCTTCTTAAATCCCCTTTAACTCCCCCTGCAGGTCTCTTTTTAAAACACAGGTACCTCAAGTGCTAAACTCAAGTCAATATGTCTGTACTCACTGAGCTAAAAACACATTTAATTGAAACACATCTGAATCTAACAGTGAATATAAGGAGGTAAGTGGCCTTAAATAACCAAACTCAATGTTTACTGATACAGTAGTACAGTAGATTGGAGTGGTTTTCAAGCTGAGCTATTTGCAGTGTAATTTTAAAACTCAAGGTTTTACCAGAGAAGTCTGGTTTTTAAGGCCCTGTGCTTTTTGGAAAATTGAGTATTATTTGAGGACATTGGTGCAGCAGTGAATATTACTGCTCTGTTCAGGTAAACAATCATGAGCACTGACTTGACACTAGATGGCACCACAGATATATGTGATCTGCTCACAACTAGAAATCAGCTGTTATTGTAGTAGTGCACATTTAACAGCCCACTTATCTGCAGCAGTACACACCTCCTTATACAACCGAGCTGTGCATAGTACACTACATGTAACTACATGCCAGCTAGTAATGACTTTGAAGGACAGACTAGGAGGTAGATTCACCACTCTTTCTTTCCAACTCTGCACACAGTCTGCTATTGAATAACTAATACTGTAGTTGAACTGACACTTTGAAGTTGGATTACCTTTCCTGTGCCAGTGGATATAAGTAAGTGTTAATAAAAAAAACTCTGTCATGAGCACATGTAATATAAAAACAGGCATGTTTTTTTGGAATATGATTTAAAAAATTACAGTTTTCTGTCTTGGTAGTTACGTGTAAGTGTAAAGTTTAATAGAAGGTAATGCTTGTTAACAGTGATTACAATCCACATATTTTCATATTGTCTTATTTAATTAGTTGTTGTTTAGAGTGTCTCTTGTATTAAACAGCTCTCTTGTTTTTATTTGAATCACTGATCTGCCTTATGTAAGGTTTAGAGTCCAGTGCCATTTCATCAGTGGTGGAAAAAATATTCTGATCCAAGAAAACTGTTTCAAAAGTCTTGTGTTGCTGTAAAAGGTCCACTGTGTCTCCATATATTATTAAATATTACATTATTAGAGATGTTACTGCTTCATCAATGTGTAAGTAGTATTCTACCGTTGTACCTTGTCAAGGTGGAGCTAGTTTTAACAACTTTAATACAGTTAATTGTTTAGTCCAGTGGTTTCCAACCTTGGGGTCGGGCCCTTCCAAAGGGTCACAAGATAAATCTGGGAGATGATTAATAGGGCAGGAAAGACAAAGTTCTCTTACACAAATCTGTATTAATTTTTTGGCTTGGACCTCTTTTGGCTTTAAGCTAAGTTGTATCAGAACAGGAAAATATTTCTTCATTAAAGGAAGAGCAAAGAATGGCACTGAAGCAAAAATATGTTTTCGCTCTTCTCCCGACCAGCTTCGGAAAGACTTTGACTACGTTACATTAATATACTTAGTTGAGGATCTCCCGGTTTTCGCGGTGATAGCTGAATGGTTCATCAAATCAGCTGCCAGTTTTTTTTTAAGTTTCCGCCCTTATCCAGTTTCCATTGATGACTTCCAAGATGTTTCTGTGTAACAAACTATCAGATGCAGGTTAGCCTCAAGTTGTTTAGAGGGTAAATAATTCTGGTGTAACAACTCACAGACATCTGAAACGTGACATGGTGCCGAACCACTGGTTTAATCTTTAACAATGCATTGTTCTGTATTTTATAAGCATATCATATATTTTTTATCTGTAATCTGAACACTATTGCTGTCAAATCAATGTGGAGTAAAAAGTGCAATATTTGCCCCTGAAATGTAGCAGAGTAGAAGTATAAAATAGAATCAAATGGAAATACTAAAGTAAAGTACCTGAAAATTGTACTAAAGTACAGTAATTATTTTCCACCACTGTATTTCCTGTTCTAGTATGACTGTAAACACAAAACACGTGCAAACCAGATGAGCATTACTCTCTTATTGACTTGTTTTTGTGTATTTTTAAGGTCTCTGAGGGACTTCAGCATGAAGGTGCCTCATTCATCTCTGATCACCTTTGCTCTACTGTTTATACAACTAACCAGTGCATCTGGGGGGAAAATCCTGGTGTTCCCATTGGATGGAAGCCACTGGGTAAACATGAAAGTACTCATAGAGGAACTGCATGCCAAAGGCCATGAGGTCACTGTGGTCCGGGCGTCCGATAGCTGGTACATCAGTGAAAAGTCTCCTCTCTACACCTCTGTCACCCTTACCAGCCCTAATGGATTTGAGCAGAACTTTGAAACCTTTCTGTCTCGACAGCTTGAGATCCGGCTTCAGGGTGGTCATACCTCTTTTTGTTCTCGCTTCTGGACTCGCATTGAGATGGAGCGGGTGGTTGTGGACCAGTTCTCTCAGTTCCATAAGGGAATGAGTGAAATGGTCCTTCAGATGTTTGAAGATAAAAACCTGATTTGAAAGCATTCTTTGCACGCAGCCAAATATGACGTGGTTTTGACTGACCCCGGTATCGGCGGAGGGGCGATGCTGGCACGTTGGCTCCAAGTTCCTCTTGTTTTTAATGTCAGATGGACCATTCAAGGTGAAGCTCATCTCCTTATGGCCCCTTCACCTCTGTCATACATTCCTTTCACTGCCACAGAGTTCACAGATAAGATGACCTTTCCTCAAAGAATAACAAATGTTTTGAGTTACATCCTTGGGACTTACACACTATCATACATCACAGAACCTCATTACAAACCACTAGTTAAGAAGTACTTTGGTCCTGATGTGGATTATTCCACGTTTTTCCTGGATGCGGATATATGGCTTATGAGGAATGATTTTGTCTTTGAATATCCACGTCCAACGATGCCAAATATAGTCTACATGGGTGGATTTCAGTGCAAACCCTCAAAGCCCCTCTCTAAAGAACTAGAGGACTTTGTCCAGAGTTCTGGTGAACACGGTATCATTGTTATGACCTTAGGAACTTTAGTCGGGGTGCTTCCTCAACATATCGCTGAGGAGATTGCTGCAGCCTTTGCCCAGATGCCTCAGAAGGTTGTGTGGAGGTATGTGGGACAAAAGCCAGCCAACCTGGGCAACAACACATTAATAGTCAACTGGCTGCCACAGAACGACCTCTTAGGACATTCCAAAACAAAAGTGTTTGTGGCCCACGGAGGCACTAATGGTGTTCAGGAGGCAATTTACCATGGAGTTCCTGTTGTTGGACTTCCCCTATTCTTTGATCAGCCTGATAACCTGTCCAGGATTAAAGCAAAGGGAGGAGCTGTGATTGTAGATATCGCCGTTCTTGATAGACACATCTTTGCAGAAGCCCTGATGGCCGCTCTTTACAATTCCTCCTACAGAGACAACATGCAGAGGCTCTCCAGGCTGCACAGAGATCAGCCCATGAAACCACTGGATCAGGCGGTGTTTTGGATAGAATATGTGATCAGACATAAAGGAGCCCGCCATCTGCAGACAACGTCCCACAAAATGTCCTGGTTTGTTTACAACTCTGTGGATGTCATCGCTGCTCTGTTGACGTTTGTTTTGCTTATTACTTTCACCTTCATTTCAATTATAAAGTTACTATGGAGAATGATTTTTGTTGGGAAAAAAGTTAAACATGAATGATGTGAAAAATAATATGTGTGAAATCCAAGCATGAACAAATATTAACCCAACAATTATCTCTGTGTGATGTTTTTTAAATTAATAAAATGTGAAAAAAATAATTTGTGTTTGGCGGTAATTTGAAATACATTTGAAGTTCTTTTTTCTACATTTTCATATTTTTAGAGACTTACTAAAAGCGATCACTCATTCAATAAGTTTTTTATCGTATTACAAATGGAAAAAAGAAAAGGATTTTCTAAACACATAAATCAGGAATATATGTGTTGGCTTATATATATTACTGTAAACATGATCTGACTATCTGAATACGATGATTAAAATCTCATTTGAAAAGTCTACTGTCTGGTTTATTGTTAAGGGCCTGAATGTGGATTCCCAGTAAAAACTTAAATAGTAAAAATGTATTCATTAGAAATATTTACTTTAATTATTAAATAGAAAAAAAAAGAAAAAAAAACTAAATAATTGTCATTCAACGTGTTACATTTAATTACAATACATTAATGCACACATAAAAAGTAAATACATATTTTATTAGACATTTCAAATCTTCCATACAAAAAGATCAAAGTATCCCATAAATGGTAAATGCACCACAAAACTTGTTTGCTTGTAATTATGTATTATATGAAGGTACAGTAATGAATAAGTTTGTATTAGACATGTTTAGGGAGCAGATCCCAGACACATTTCCTTTTTGTGCAGATCAAATTATATTTTATTTGACCAAAATAGCTTTGTTGATTGCTAGTCTTTCTCTAATCAATACGACCATGTGATAATGCCAATTAAAGCTGTTGATTGATTAATCATAATGCATTAGTTGATCCACGCTTATGAGTCTTTGTAACATATTTTAAATGCTGTCAAGTATATCTACAAAATGTACCATTTCTTGCATAATAACATTCCCAATACATCGTATATACAAAAGTATCATATTCTGTTAAATAGTGAATAAATGTCAAATGAAAATTTCCTAACCCTGGCTGTTTCCAATAGATCACCATCATCACAGTAAACATTAAATAATAAAATCAGGACATATAGTAGCATACTTTGTTCCAGCAAAATTAAAAGTTTTTTACAAATATCATATATATATAAATATCATAGACAAACAAGTTTTTAAGGATTTAGCTTTATTTTAATTTAAATCATGTCCTTAATGTATTTCTTTGACTTCTTTGACAGAGTAGGTGGAGTAAAAACCTAAATATCTTCCTCTCTAAGTTGCACATTCTTGAGGCATCTAATGATTGTTTGGCCACTAGAGGGCAGAAGAATTCCAAAAAACTAAAACTAAAAAATAGGCCACAAACAAGCCTGGATCCATTAGTTCCCTTTTGTCGATAAGCTAACATAGCAAACACTTTCCTTCTTAAACATCCAGCAGACACAGAGCAACATGTAGTATCATCCCATTGGAGTTTGTTTTGGTGGTAGTATGGTACCATACTTGTTTATTGGGGTTCTTCTTGTTTTTTTGTTCTTGATTTTTTCTTCAGCACGGTGCTTGAAAAAGACATATATGAAGAAAAATATGATAGCCATGAGCAGAACCAATCCGATTGCCTAAAGAGTGGACAGACCAACACAATGAGTTACATAACAGTGAAGCTGATGCTTGCCTACCTTTAAAGATCAATTTCTGAGCATTGTGCCAAAACAAAACTCACCTGAGACAGTAAAAAACCTTTGTGTGATTAAGCCATGAGTTCTTCTGATGAGTATCTTGTTGTGTTGGTTGGTGTACACCACTTCAGAAGACCTTTTTCAACAGAGACAAATGTGCCTGGCCAGTATGAGACTGCACAGACAAAGTATTGGCCATCAAGAAAAATGAGAACAAACCAAATCAAGGAAGGGAAATATCTGTACGCCCGTTTTAGAGGAAAGTTTTCAGATTCAAAACCATCGATCATCATCATCATGCTCAGAAAGGCTATAAAGGCAGGAATGATAGAAAATGCTGCAGAAAACACGATGTTCCACAGAGGAATGCAAGGGCAAGCAAATTCCACCGCCACTATCTTCTCCACGACAACCAGGGTGAGGCCAGCAACCAAATTTGACAAAATAGGACTGGGACGTTGGTCTGGAGGAACTTTGTCTGGAGGAACTTCGTCTGGAGGAACTTCGTCTGGAGGAACTTCGTCTGGAGGACCTTGGTGTGGAGGACCTTGGTGTTGAACATCTCGGACTTTGAACTTATCAGTATTTTGAATCAGCGAGTCTGTTTCTGACATAATTTATTCTACACACAAAGAGAAAAGTACAGATGTAAAGTGTGTGAGTCTGTCAGGAAAATATACAGATTTGGATGCCTAAATATCTTTTTGAGGGTTTTTAATGATTATTTCTTTGTTCACAGGGTTCACCTATTTCATAACACTAAGAATTTCTACATAACAAAATTGTATGATTTGTCTTCTCCATTGTGGAATATTTTTGACAGCCCAAAGACACCTTCACTGTTTCATATAAAGTGGAGCATCTTTAATTTATTCAAAATGTAAATGTGATGGGATTATAAAATAGATTGGACCAATTCAATTAGTTTTTATATTCTGTTACAGAATATACATGTCAAAAATGTATTTTCACATAATGAAAAAAAAAAGATAAAATCCCCTGTATGTATTTATTTGTACAGTAAGATTAAAGTTTTACCAACCTTAAGATTGAAGGTGAGAATGAGAAATGTACTCTTCTTGAAAGCTGCTCTGAGGAAGTGAAACTCTTTCAGCTCTTCTCTCTCTCTCTTAAATGTTTGCCCGCCTGTTTCAACTGTGGAAATTTCCTTTTGTGAGCTTTTGTTAACCTCTAACACTTATGCTGCCCTGATCAAGTCAATATATGTTTCTGTTTATCATCCCAATCGAATGCATCAAGGTCAAAGAAAACATTAGTTCCAGAGTGGAAATTGAAAGTTAACTTGACAATGAATGCATGCTTATAAATAAAATAGGTAAATGGATGACAAATGTTACCAGTCATGACATTTAGGAGCTGAAACATATGAAAGTAGATACACAAGTGAGTAAAGTACCAGTTGATGAAAAGAAAAGCGGATGTTACTGAAAAACAATAAAATCCTGAGGAAAACCAATGAAACAAGAAGACATAATTCACACAGAGAAGATCCAAGTGAGACAAACTCCATGCCATAACAGTTAAATAATGAGAATCCCACCTGAATCTTTATCAATTTTATTCCATACAATAAATGGCATTAGTAACAGTTTCAGTAATTAATTGAGTAACATAAGAAGTTGAATTATATCACGTGACAGTTAAAGTGGAGGATTTGTTTGTTTCAGTAATGTGATCACATCTACGAGGTCTGCTGAAAACTCTACATGCAGACAGAAAAGCTTGTGAAAAGCTGAACTGAGAACTTTGTGTGTACTATTGTTTGTCACGTTCTTATAAAATACGTGCATTTTAATGTGCTGACAAAACCACCAACTACAACATGTCTGCGTCTAGTAGCGTGGGACATTTCCTGTAACCTGTCTGTCTATCAGCCATCAGAGAAACTGAGCAACATGTGCAAGTGCCAGAATAATGTGTAATACAATTAAGTCAGAGGAAGTAATAGAGTAACATTTAAAAGGCTAATCTTTAGTACTTTAGTAGTAGTTTGTGGTTATAATGGTTACTGTCATAATGGCAGTTACAGTACAGTAGCCTTGTGGTTTCTTATGTTTTATGTGCCAAATGTCTAATACCAGCAGTAGTAAGAGTGGTTGTAGTTATCAGAGGACTCCAGATCCAATGATTATTGCTATTTTATGAAATGAGACAGTAAGTATTATCTTTACAATTTTATATTTACAGGGATTTTTTACCTATTCTATTGTATAAAGAAGCTAACATACTATATAATAAAACATACACAACAAAATATTTAAATGTTCCTATTCATCCTTAAAAATCCTGGCAAAATATATAAAAACACTGAACATTATTTTGTTGAACAATATGTACAGTACACCATGTCTGATATTTTTTTATTTAAATCATGTCCTAAATGTATTTTTTTGACTTCTTTGACAGAGTAGGTGGAGTAAAAACCTAAATATCTTCCTCTTTAAGTTGCACATTCTTAGGCATCTACTGATTGTTTGGCCACTAGAGGGCAGAAGAACTCCTAAAAACTAAAACTAAAAAATAGGC